TGCAGACCCTTAAGGTTAGAGGAGCCATCACCACAGGACACAAAGGAAAAGGTATTTCTCTGTCTCTTGAGTGATTATTTCACACAGCCCAGTTCACCTGGAGTGACCCTGAGTGTTTTAGTTATGAGAAAAGTGACAATTTGTGGCCCATACAGAACTCTAGGATGAATTTTAGAAATTTAATGGGTTTGGAATTTCTCTCCAGAAGTTAAGCATGCTTAGGATTTCAGAGTATTGTGGGCTGAATTGTAGAAAGTAAGTGAAGTAGAAGAAAAATCTGTGACATTCAACTTTTTAATATTTGGGAGTAGTTTGTCTTTAGAAAGGAAAAAAATATTTTTAAAATTCTAGAGACTCTAAATGTAAAGAATTATTAAGATGATTAATGGGATATGTTGTTAAGTCAGGCCTCCCCCATGGGGAAAGTGCTTTTGTGGATTCTCTTGGATTGTTTTTGTGAATTTTTATATTTTGAAATAGTAGGTAACGATGGGGGGGTATATACTAGAAGTCTGTGCTTGGAGAGTGAGAAAAGGGGAAGGAAGATTTTGTGATGAGACTTGATACAAGGATTCTTTACCTGTAGAGGAGTGAATGTTATTTTTGTGAATACTCAGAAGGTTTATACTGAACCTCTTTGCTACATTCTTGTCCTACTGAATCAGAAAGGCTGGAACTCAGCCACTGTGGACAAAAGACTTTAGCTACTGTTCCCTGTGGTGTCTGTAACTAGACTCACATCCAGCAGTGCTTTTAACCCTTAAGCAACCTGGCCTGGGTGCCAAATGAAGACTGCCCTAAAATCTGAGAGAAACACTGGTGTCTGCCGTTAAAACTCACTTTAAAAAAAAAAAGAGAGAGTTTTTTAATATTTATTTTTTAGTTTTTGGTGGACACAATATCTTTATTTCATTTTTATGTGGTGCTGAGGATGGAACCCAGTGCCCTGAGCTTGCCAGGAGAGCACACCACCACTTGAGCCACATCCCCAGCCCCTAAAACTCACGTTTAAAGTCCTCTGTGCTACAAGCAAAAGTACAAAACATAGGAAAATACAAGCTGCTACCCGTCCCTAGGATCTTGCCCAGGTTGGGGCATAGAGACAAATCTAACAGAATCCCACCAGCTAGGGGAGCTCAGGGAACCTTTGCCTGACTATGGGCAGCAGGCTCCATGCTGTTTCCGTCACCATGGTAACCACTGGAAGCCTGGCAGAGCAGGCTTCCAGGTCCCGCCTCCCACATTTCAGTTATTTTTGAATTAAATAACCTGACTTTTCTCTGTGGTTATGTTACTAAATAATGCTATTGGTGGGCGGTTCCCAACTATGCTTTTTTATATTTGCTTTTAATTTTGAAGGTTATGGGGGTGCACTTGCTTGTCGCAGGCACAAAAGCCTGCAATGTTCCTGTGATGAGCATAAAACCCTTACTCTCATTCCTGACTAAGTAATACAAAAAATAAAATATACATAAGGGTCTTATTTCAGCTACATCATGTGACATCACACATTTATTTATGCACTCCTAGTTAAAAATAAATTGAAAAGGATCCAAATATCTTAAGAACCACGTGGTTACATAAAGTTAATACAATTATAAGTTATGCCCTGATTATTAATATATTTTTCTAGGTACTTGGATAGCCTATAGTTCTTAATTCATAAAATGATTAGCAGATATGTCTAATTGTTTAGTTAATATATACTTATCTAATTGCTTTTCTTCAACAGAAAACACATAATTTATATACTTCTTATACATGCATTTATCTGATGTTCTGCCTTAGCTCCTCTGCTTCTGTTTACAGATATTCTAGATACAGACATTTTAGATAAATATATTTTACTATAAATTTGCTTTCAAGAGAGAATACAACCTTCAAGTAATCTCTAGTTCTCAAAGTTATCATACAATTTTTTTAAATTTTTTATTTTAGTTGTCGTTGGACACAATACTTCCATTTTTTAATGTTTTTAGGTGGTGCTGAGGATTGAACCCAGTGCACCGCACGTACTAGGCAAGCGTTCTACCGCTGAGCCACAACCCCAGCTCCTGTATAAACTTTTATACGATGACAAACAAATATAATTCTATCTTCAGAAATATTCAAGGGCTTTAACTATATTTTCATTGATATTTTGTCTTATCAAAGTACAAAAATTTGTTTAGATTCTAAGGTTTTCAAAAATTACTCCAAAGTATAACCAGGAAAAATTCTAAAAGGAAAAGATTCTTCAACCAAGAGGAAGCACACATTGGAGGTGCTAAGAAGAATCAAAAAATCATCTTTGGGAGAAACAAGGTCTTTATATTCCAGATTTTAATGATAAAAGTATTTACCTAAACCAGAAAATTTTTATATCATTATCTAGACAGATGATATAAAAAGTTAAAACAATTAAAAAGAGATTTATATGTACTGTACTGACTATCAAAATTTTACCTGATTAACTCAAGAATATTTCAGGCTATTTCCCTAATTTTACTATGCTAATGTGAGCTAACATTTTTTCCATATCTTGACATGATAAAAACCTATGAAAATGTTGTTTATTTCCTTTAAGGGAGGTCTTTATTGCCTGATGATTCTTACTGTTTAATGTGATAAAAAAAATAAATTAAAAAAAGACAAATCCTGTAACAAGGCCTCTGGCCCTGAGCTGGAGCCTCACTGAGATGGCTACATCTCTGAGATAAGTTACCAATCGGGCTCCATGGTAAGAGCTGGCAGGGGGAGGAAGGGAGGGGAGAAGAAGTTCCCCCCTTCTCAGTCGCTGTCCTTGAAGGGTTAACTTGCCCAGAACAGTGAAAGACAAAGCTGCTTTTGTGTGAACTTCTGCAGACTGGGAACTTCTGAGCCCCTCCCCTTACATGCTGGGTATAGAGTTCTGAAACTACCTGAACTCAAAGTTCAGGGGGATTGATTGATTACACCAAAAGCTGTGCCTCTGAACCTGCCTATAGACAAATAAAATCTGCTTCCTGTTTGGTGTCTTGCCTGGTCTGTGCCCTGCAGCACTTCCTTTCCAGACAAATGGAGCCACCTTTAGCCATGATTTCTAGCTTCACACCAACCTCAGTGGACAGTCCAAGAGTTAGTCCCATTACTCCTTTTTCTTGATATGTCTTCCCACTAACTCCTCTGCTTCTGTTTATTTCTACAAATTAACTACCACCTTTGCTTTCTCATCTACTTTGGGAATACTTTAAAGAACTCTTGGGACCTTGCCTGCATTTCACTGCTCATTGCTAGCTACTACCTAATACCTGCACCCCAGCCCTGCACTGCACCAGGCCAAGCGCTGCTGCAGCCAGGGGCCAGATGGGCAGGGGTGCAGACATGTGCAGCTGCAGAGGCTGGGAAATTCACTCATGAGCCCAACAGAAGCCCAGAAACAGCCCACTGCAGAGGTCTCTGGGAAGTGTGGTCTTTGAGACGGAGTGACTTAGCCAGAGGCTGCCCCATTTTCAGATCATGGTTTTTCAGAAAAGAAGTTAAGGCTGGATGCTGTAGCACACACCTGAAATCCCAGTGGCTCTGGAGGGTGAGGCAGGAGGATCACAAGTTCAAGGTTAGTCTCAGCAATTTAGTTAGACCCTAAGCAACTTGGCAAGACCCTGCCTCAAAATAGAAACTGAACAGGGCTGGGTTGTGGCTCAGTTGTTAAGCACCTCTGAGTTCAACACCTGGTGGAAAAAAACAAAACAAAACAATTGAATCTCAGCCCATGGTGACCACTGTCAAGGGGAGGAGAACTTACTTCAGATCTAACCCTCTGGTGATTCTGGGAACACAGGCTTCAGCCCCTGCCTTGGGGCATTGTAACTAATTCTAAATAATTCATTCTAGATGATTCAGCTCTAGTCATGGATGCCCCTGGGAGCTGCAGGCTACACTTTCATTCAGAATTCCCAGGGATTCTTGACTGTGAAATCTGGTGTTCTGCCCACACACCCTAGCCACAGAGGACCTGAGAGCTGTGTGCCACAGGCTGGTCCAGGCACCTGGAGGACCCTGGCAGTGTCACCTGGTGTTCTGCCCACACAGCCCTTAGCACTGAGGACCATGGGGCTGTGTGCCATGTGCTGGCACCTGGAGGACCCTGGCAGTGTAGTCAGGTGTTTTGGCCTCGCAGGCCTCACCACAGAAGCCTACAGAGGCTGCAAGTACCACATACTCCAGGATTCTGGCCAGTGCAGTCCAGTATTCTACAATGTGGCCCTCATTGCAGAAGTTTCTGTACGCTGCTACACGGGGGCCCCTAGAACAGCAGGCATCCAAGGGTAATGGGTAGCACAGTTTGTCATTTTGTCAGTACAGCCATCACTCCAGAGGTCCCTGCAAGCTGCAGGTCCCCGAGGGTGATGGATACTGCCGTCTGTCATTTGACCTATGCTGCCCTCACTGCAGAGGGCTCTGGTGACGGCAGGCCCTGAAGGATTCTAGGTAGGGCAGCCATCATAACCTTCACAGCTCTCACCCCAGAGTCTCCTGGGAGCTGCTGGCTGCATTCTCACAAAGCACCCCGGGGACTCTGGGCAGTGCAGTCCAGCATTCTGCCGCTCAGCACCCACCAAGGCCCCTGGGAGCTTTGGGCCATGTGCTTGCCCTGGTACACTGAGGATTCTGGGTAGCATATCCTGGCGACTGCCCACCCACCCAAGAATCCTCCACAAAGGCCTCTGGGATCTGCAGGCCACACAGTTGCCTGGAGCCCCCGTTATTCTGGGTAGAACTGGTGTGTCATGCAATTCTCACCAGGGGCTCCTGGGAACTGTGGGCCCCGAGGATTCTAGGCACTGCTGTCCAGCATTCTGCCCACAGGCCCCTCAGAGCTTCTGGTCCTGGCACCCCAAGTATTATGGATACTTTAGCCAAGAAACTGCCCACACAGCCATCACCACTGTGGGACTGGTCAGAGGGCCCACCTCACTGGGAACAGACTCACCCAGCAAACCCCAGCATCATCCGGTTTCTTCTAAAAAATTGTAGTCACGTAATGGAAAGAAGTCTTTAATACAGCCACAGTTGAAGATAATCATAATCCTTTAATATCTAATACCCAACTGATACACAGATTTCTCCAGCTATTTCAAATAAATTTTAGACAATGACAAATGAGGTTCTAATAGGAGCATGCAGTACACTAAATTCATACATCTGAAGTCCTCCTTTACTTGTGGTTAATTTACACTGTAGATCTTCAAGTCTGTGTTTTGCTTCTTCATTTGGTTTCATCTCAGAGTGCCTGGGATGGAGCACTCCACCCCTGGTCTATAACGCCACCACAAGGTTCTTCTTGTAACCGACACAAATACAATATTTACACTTAACGTAACTTTGAATTTTAACACATCAACTTCTCAATATTTCTCAAGTACTTAAACATATAAGAAAAATTCACTCATTAAAACATGAATAAGAGCAAGCAATGAGGTCCCCTCAGGCCCCAGTGGGACTCCAGGCACTGGGCCTCCCTGCACCATCTTGAGTGGCCATCTGTGTTTCTCCTGTGCCCTTGGATTTCTCCCCAAAATACACTCAGGCCACACAAAACACACTGAAGTGACATAATGATGAGCAGCCAAACCCTCAGTGAGGAATACTGTTGTAAAAGAAGTTCTGCTGAAATATTACCTGGGAAAGCAAAGGACATGGCAGAACTTCTTCCTCAGCACACAGGCAGTGCCCAGGAAGCTTCTTCCTCATGTTTTCCTCACCTGGACCTCGGTCATCCTGAATCCACAGTGGAGTCTCCATTGCCAAGGAGAAGGAAGCCCTGGACCTCACCACAGACATATCCCCCAGGCATCCCCAGGCCATGGTGTCTCTCCACATGGGTCCCCAGGATAAGGAAGCCCTGGTCCCCACCTTAGACAGAGCCCCCAGGCATCCCCAGGTCATGATGTCTCCCCAAGAGGGTCCCCAGGAGAAGGAAGCCCTGGTTCCCACCTTAGACAGAGCCCCCAGGCATCCCCAGGTCATGGTGTGTCCCCAAGAGGGTCCCCAGGGTAAGGAAGTTCTTGTCCTCACCATAGACAGAGTTACCAGGCATCCCGAGGTCATGATGTCTCCCCAAGAGGGTCCCCAGGGTAATGAACCTCTGCTCCTCACCTTAGGGCCTCTTCACCTTAGGGCATCTCCCACCTGGGTCCCCAGGAGAAGGAAACTTGCAGAGGACACAGAACAGGACCCCCCAAAAGCAGGTGGTGGGAGACAGTTATGCGCGCCCCCTGCTGGCCGCCATGGGCGCAGGGCGCCGGAGGCTCAGCCTTCAGAGCTGCCTCTGCGCACCCTAGTGCCAGTCAACAGTGAAGCTCTGAAATTCATAGTTCTGATGATTTCTGGTCATAATTTCATAAATCAAATAGAAAGAGGGATGGGGGGGTATCAGTGGCAAAGCTCTGGCCTAGCACATGTGAGGCACTGGGTTTGATCCTCAGCACTGCATTATATAAATAAGATAAGTAAATAAAGACATCTACAACTATAAATCTAAAAAAAAAAAAAAAAAATAGAGCCCTTCCTATGTCTTGGGCACAATGGATGGAGATAGAAAGCTGCAAAGTACATGGCCCCTAGGCAAAATTCCACTGATTTCCTATATAGTAGCATCATGTAGAGGAAAGAGTGGAATGTGTAAACTGGAATAAGAGCATTTTAAATGTGTTCACATGTAAAATAGCACCCCCCAAAATTAAAGTACCTACTTCCAGAAAATCTTGAAACGTAGAAAGAAATCAAATGCAATATAAATAAATGCAGAGATATTCCTTGTTCAGGTCTCAGTGTCGTTAAGATGAACCTCCTCTGCAGATTCAGTGATTCCAAGTGAAATTCCCAGCAAGCTGTTTCTGAACCTAGGATCCAGACGCACCTCAAGAAGGCACACAACTGGAGCCCAGAACCTGTCAAAATACTCCATAGACTTGCGTTTACAATGCGAAACTGCAAAACTCTAGAAGATGTGCATGACCACATGCTCCCTCTGTCTGCTGCCAGGCTCCTCCTCGGCTTCTCCTGGCTCCTCTCCTAGTTTCCTCCAATCTGCAGCCTCAGAGGTGCAAGCCAGACAGGGATGGGGGTGGGTGTACGTATGTAAAGGCACGCAGAGGTGCATGGGTGTGTCATGGGGATGTGTAACAGAGTTGATGGGGAAGGCTGTGAGGGTGTCTTGTATGTGTGCACCTACACACATGTCTACACTTGTATTTGTGTTTGTGTGTCCACTTGGGGTGCCAGTCAGGGAAGGAGTGCACCCCACTCCTCCAGACGAATCCTAGATCCTCACTTTCCTTCTATGGAAATTTTTTTTTTCTAAAAACACCTTTTTCTTTTAAGAATATTAAGAAGTGATGCTGTATTTCTATTAACATTCACACAATAGGCCAAGGCCCAGCCTGGCTCAGGGAGGGCAGAGGGACCATCCAGGCCACCGGATAGAGGTGTCGCTCCCTCTGTCACTGCACCCCTTCCTGTGCTGCTGGAGGGGCTGGAATCAGGACTCTGCACCCCAGCATAGAAGGACTAGAATGTGCTGAGGTCTCCCTCAGAAGAACAAGAGGGTTGGAAGGGAGCAATGCCCAACGCTCAGGGCATGGACTTTGCTGCCCACCGAGGAAGAGCACAGTCTGGTCTTGGATCTGATGCTCATCCCTGAGCTGAGAGCTGTCACACAGAAATGTCCCCAGGCACAGCGGTGAATGGCCTGAGCTCAGAACAGGAGAACTGAGGGGCTCAAAACTGACACAGCTCCTTTCCTGCCACATGCCCCTGACCTGCCCTGTGGTCTTTCAACTCAGCCCTCCAAATGCCTTGGCCACTTTCCGTGGTCCCTCCCCTAACCAAAGCCAAACTGCTCCAGGATGCCTCCTCAGCTTCAAATTCAGAACAGTCTCCTTAATGCTGAGGTGATTTGCAAGGTGCACTGGGAGGAGCAGATATCTTTAGCACAGGGAGAGCCAGTGGGTCCATTTCCAGGACCAACAAAACACAGCACAGAAATAAGTGTGACTTAAAACACAAACCTGCGATCTCCCCATTCTGGAGGCCAGAATCCCCAAATGAGGGGGTCAGCAAGGCCATTCTCCCTCTGACAGCTGTTGGGAGGGTCCTTCCTTGCCTCTTCAGCTTCTGGTGTCTGCGGACAATCTCCTGCCTTGCAGCATTAGGGAAATAATTACCCATTAAAGCAGAGGGTTTAATCAGGGCCCTATATGCTGGGGAAGGGTTGTCCTTGCTAAACCCACCAAACAGGATGCTTCTGGAGACAGCCAGGGTAGCCAGATGTCACCAGGGATGGCAGAGGATGAGGAGCCTGATCCGATACTGGGGAGGGGGTGTCCTTGCTAAACTGTTGAGCAGGGTGCTCTCCAGGCACTGAAGTTTACAAGGTGGGGCAGCAGCAAGCCCAGGAGAGGGTCCAGGAGTCTGCAGAAGTGTGGCCAAGCAGAGGATCTTTGTCAGCCTCCTCTTGTTCAAGAAGAGACGTTCCTCTGTCCTCTGAACATATAAATTCATGTCGTCATTTGGTTGCCTTCTATTATCAGGGACCAGCTGACTCATCTCTGGGACTTTGTAGTGGAGGACACTTGCTGGACGGGGCCAATAGGCAGGTATTTAATGAGAAGGAATTGATATGAAAATAAAGAAAACATGGGGAAAAATATCACAAGTGAATTCTGTTCCTGGATTGTCTTTGATGGTGCTATGGTTTGAATTTTGCCATCCAGAATTCATATGATGTGATGTGGGAGCAGTAAGGGGAACTCTGAGGACTGACTGGCCTGAGCACTCGGCCCTCATGAGTGATTTATCCATTCGTAAATGAATGGATTGAAGGCTCAGTGGGTAGAGTGCTTTTTCACATGCACACGACCTGGGGTCCAATCCCCACCACCACAAACATTACTTATTTAATTAATTAGTGGATCAGTGAGTTGTCAAGGGAACAGATTTGCTACAAAAGCCAGCTGGTCTCTTCATGCCGTGCCTCAGGATATGGCAGAGTCCCCTCCAGAAGAGGCCTTCAACAGATGCAGCCCCTGACCTGGGACTCTCTACACACCTTAAATTAAAAATAGCTTTTTTTTTTTTCTTTTGGTGCTGGGGATTGAACCCAGGGCTTTGTGCATGTGAGACAAGCACTCCACCAACTAAGCTACATCCCCAGCACTAAAAATGGCTTCTTAATGAATGACTCAGCCTCAGTTGAGCAGATACAGCAACAGAAAACAGCCCAAGTCATATGGAAATATCAAGAGGGAAAGCAGACGGCTAAGGGACAAGAGGAAACTGGTGTGCTATATGTAGGCCACACGGGAATTACTGGAATTTGAATTTTTTAAAAAAAAATAGCTCTCCTGAAATACTGAAGGGTTACTCTGACAACACATATACAAATATGCATTCAGAGAACTTTGAACATGGTTGAAAGGAATGAAAAGAAACATAAATAAGTGCGGTGATTTTCTTTGCTCGGAATCAATTCAACCATTAATGTTGGGAAGATACTTCTTTCTCATTTGATCTTTAGATGCAGCAGAATCCCAATCACAGCACCACAGAAGATACCTGCAAATGCTGAGCTAGAAGATATGGCAAAGGAATGATCAAAAATAGCTCAAAAGGGGGCTGGGAATGTGGCTCAGTGGCAGAGCACTTGCCTCGCACATGTGAAGCACTGGGTTGGATCCTCAGCACCACATAAAAATAAACAAACAAAATAAAGATATTTTAAAAATAGTTCAAGACTCTGCACATCTGGTTCCAGCACTTATCATAAAGCTTCAGTGATCCCAGAGTGTGGCAGTGGGAAAGGCATTGGAAATAGACAAAAGGAAAAGAAGAATGAGCCCAGAAATGTAGAGAATCAGATGTAACTGCGTTACTATTACTGCAACACATTAGCATTTGAAAATGCAAATCCTGCCGACTACGCCAAATGTTGCAGTAATAGTAATGCAGTTACATCTGATTCTCTACATCAATTACCGTGCCTTTAGAGACAGGCTCAATATACAGATCCAGATCTTCAACAAGTTTGACAGGTTTAAGAGCTTAGAGATGTGTGATACCCACTGGTCAGGCACAACCTTCCTTTACTAAAACTATACAAGGGGCTACTGAACCTTACACTGATTTTCTTGCAAGGCCGCGTACTTTTGTAATGAGGGCAATGGGTCAAGATCAAATAGCAAAGGTATTATTGGAAACATTAGCATTTGAAAATGCAAATCCTGAATGTAAGCATATTTTGGAGCCATTAAAAGGGCAAAAAGCCTCATTGAGTGAATATGTGAAAGCTTGTGCTGGAGTGGGAGGAATTGAACATCAAAGCTTCTGTTTTTGCTGCAGCCATGGCTGGAGCCCTTAAACCCAATAAATCAGGAACTTGTTTCAATTGTGGAAAAGCAGGTCATTTTAAAAGGGATTGTAAAAAATAAATAAATAAATAAAATAAAATAAATAATTTTTGTGATACTTTCTAATTACCGGCTGGTCATTTTTTCTAGGACTCTTGCTTTTTCCTAGATTCTGTATTTTTTGAGCTCATAATTTTGATCCTACAGACCTAAGTTAATGTTTTTCTGATCAGTTCTATTTTTGATCAACTGTGGAATATTTAAACATTACAATGGAAATTTCACCTAAAATTGCTACAAGGCCTTTATTGTGTTATGTGTGCACATTTGTATTATACGTTGTATGTCTGTGCGTATGTCCATATATCATGTACATGACATAAAGATTGATATATATGTAAAGAGCGCTCATAAAAATTTAAAAAAAGGATCCAAATATTTTTAATTCACTGATTTAAATGGTTCAATTTACATTGGGTAAACAGATAAAAAATAAGATGTCTTTAACATGTTAATGACTGATGTGCTTTGGTTCTAGGACTTTTCTTCAACAACAACAACAAAAAATGGCTAAGACTGTTTGTTATACTTGTCTAATGTTTTGATAAAATAAGTAAATTAATTAGACATAAGATTACTTGTTTATGAGTACTTTTGTTAAGTATCTGATTAATTTACAAGGTTAATATGCTAAATGTTAAATATACAATTAAATGCTTTTAACTCCTTAAATTACATTAGATGACATTATTAATAATTTTTTAAGTTGGTAAATAATATAAATAAATAAATAAATGGTTGCTTTATCATCCCTAATATTTAGACACTATATTTTCATAATATGGTAAACAAATGTGATTAATTGTGTACTACAAATAACAAAATATCTCTTATTAAAATGGAATAATTTGCCTAAATTCAAAAATTTACAAGGATTATTTCAAAGTGTAAATAAAGAGGGGGTTAACAAAAAAAAATTAAAAGGTTCTAAGTATGGATTTAATAAAAAAAATGTGTTTCTGGAAGTGAGTAAATAAAAGGATTTAAGCAAGTGATAAAGAAGGTCTATGTATGTTGGCTATATAGTTTTAAGTAAGTGATAAAGAAGGTCTGTGTACGTTGGCTATATATGTAAATTTTTGAACAAATAATCTAAAAAAAATTAAGGATTATACAACTATGGTTAAACAACAACTGTTATTTTGCAATATTCTAATATGTTATTTCTTTAAGAGCTAAACTTAATTAATATAAAAACATCAATAGTAATTATGGTACTATTACTCTTCTTTGTATATTAAATGTGTTCATATTTTCCAGGTATATAAGTCATTAAGATAAAAGCTTTAAAAAAAATTATATCAAGCTGGTGTTCTCCAAAAGGTTGCATGGTAATTTTAGGCTCATAAAAATAACATATTGGAGATTTATTTATATCATTTAATGTTCTATAACTGGGCCAATTATCAATAAGATATATAGAGTTTTATGTTACTTTTTACACTGAGGTACAATTTAAATGTATTTTTTAAGTTAATGAGAGCCTTATCTACATAAAGGTTAATATTATAAAACACAAGAACATTTTTCTATTTTTCTAAAAAAAGCTAAAGGCTTTCAGCCTTTCTTTATTTCATGTTTTAGATGAAACATGAAATAACATGTGTTAGTTTTTACTCAAATAAACTTAAACAATTATTTATATAAAATTTATAATATAATATTTTAAAAAAACAAAAACAAACTTTAAAACTACAACAGTTTACTTAAAATTTATAAAGAGCCCTACTTACCTAAGATAAGACTCTATGTCCTATCTCACTACATGTAAAAATAACAACAAAAATAGTAGGCCAAATTTCAGTATATTTTACTCATATTAGAGCACATTCTACACTCCCAGGACAATTAACTAAAAAAAAAAAATCAGAATATTGATCAACTATTATTCCCCTTACAAAAGGCTCATCTAGAACATGCTTTACATCATACAAACACTAAAGGACTTTATAAAAAATACAAAATAACGGTTCATCATGTGCTCCTTTTAATATTCCTTACTGTCCTCCTGGTGTTAATCCAAGGGGACTCCATCCTATTGCCCTTTAACAAATGGATGTTGTTATAATTCAGTCATTTGGACAACTAAGGTATGTACATCATACTATTGAGACTCATACTCATTTTCTATGGGCCACAGTTTATCTTAAAAAAAAAAAAAGCTGATGCAATCATTTCTCATTTATTATCTTGTTTTGCTATCATGGGAATTCCTAAGGAACTTAAAACTGACAATGCACCTGCATATACCTCACAAAAATTACATTCATTTTTACAAAAGTATGACATTCCACATACATGTTTCCAATAATACCTTTGCTACTTGATCTTGACCCATTGGCGACAAGGATGGGATGTTCTGCCAAGTGGGCTAGGAGGGCGCTAAGAAAAATTTTATTATCTGTTCTTAACAAAGAGCAGAGCTCAACATACCCCGGGTTAACAAAACGAAAGGGGGACTTTTGGGATTAACAAAATATCGAAAGGTATCGCCCCGGGTTGAAAGAGACTTTAGGGGGACTTTCGGGATTAACAAAATATCGAAAGGTATCGCCCCGGGTTGAAAGAGACTTTAGGGGGACTTTCAGAACTAACATGGGAAACTCCCAGTCCTTAAAGGAACAATATGTGGAGTTACTACAAGGATTATTATATTCCATAGGTGCGAAAACATCTCATAAGAGACTCAAGGAGTTATTTAAAATTATAGAATGTCATTGTCACTGGTTCCAGTATCAAACTAAGGTCCAGTTAAATTTAGGGGAATGGAAATTGGTTCAGAAAGAGCTCCATAAGCAGCATCAGGCTGGGAATGTTATTTCTTTGAAGATTTGGACATTGTGTGGCACTATTACTCAGGCATTGCAATTATTAGAAAGCAATAATGAAAAGGGCTCTCTTTGTAAAAGACAAGTTTATACATCAGAATCTGATAATAAGGTTAACAAAACGGAGCCCAAGGAAGATATTTGTGATACTATAGATGACTCTCCTAAATCAGATCTGGGCGATGAGGAAGATTCAAAAAGTTCAGATAGTGACTCCAATATGAAAGAAATTATGGAGGCCTTTGTGGATAAAATGAGATTAAAAAAGCAAAGGTCCTCTCTTAAACCTACTACTCCTTCTAATGCTTCTCTCTTTCCAATGACAGAGTATAGAGCTGATGTGGGTAGAGAACAACAACATTTTTCATTTCCTCTTACTATGATACATGATGATGATGATCTTGCAGCTCCTCCTGGTTCTTTTGTTGATCCACCACATTTGTTTCCTATAACTAGACAACAAAACCTTCAAAATCCCCAGGGACCTATGGAGGATAAGTTAATGGAGGAGGGTAATTACTGTGCCTTTAGAGACAGGCTCAATATACAGATCAGGATCTTCAACAAGTTCGACAGGTTTAAGAGCTTAAAGATGTGTGATACCCACTGGTCAGGCACAACCTTCCTTACTAAAACTATACAAGGGGCTACTGAATCTTACACTGATTTTCTTGCAAGGCCGCGTACTTTTGTAATGAGGGCAATGGGTCAAGATCAAATAGCAAAGGTATTATTGGAAACATTAGCATTTGAAAATGCAAGTCCTGCCGACTATGCCAAATGTTGCAGTAATAGTAACGCAGTTACTTCTGATTCTCTACACAGAAAGACCCATGTAAAACCAGTCAAGTGGTCCTCTCAAAGGCACAAAGGCCACTCGATGGAGAGAAAACAAATCTGTAACCACAAATGGCTGCAGAACAGTTGGGAAAATAAAAATGAACCACGTGAAACTCGAACGCAATCTTTATGGCTCACCCAAAAAGCTATTCAAAATAATCCATAAAGTCAAATTTTCAAGTGCAAAGTTGTAAAATGTATAGAAAAAAAATCTGCATAGCCTTGTGTCTTATAAACAGGAGGAATCAGACCCAGGAAACACACCCTTTGGAGTCTGGAGCTCTGCTGCCAAACCCAGGAAACTAGAGCAGCTGCAGGGAGACCATCCCGGGGAATGCGGCCGACACCTCAATTCCAGAGCTCTGCACTTCAGAGTCTGAGGTCACAAGTCTCTGTGTGTCTAAGCTACCCAGTTGGTGGCACTTTGCTAGGCAGCCCTAGGAGAATGACACAGGCACATTCTGCTCCACCCTCTGCAGATACCTGTCTCCCCAAGGTTACCTCACATAGGGAGGGGGCAGGAGCAGGGCACCTCACAGGCCCTCACCACTGCCAGGTGGTCACTTCCCACACCTTGCTGTTTCTGGGTCCCAGAAAGCACAGAACTAGACAAATCCCACCGCTTACCTGTCCTTCAACCCCACCTCCCAGCCTTTCACAGCTTGTAACAGCAAAGATGTCCCTTTTAATCTCAGGAGGCAAAGAAGAGGATGTTCCACCTGGTCAAGGCATCTCACCTTTGTCCACTGGGCCCAAGCTGGCCCTTTAAAGGGGTGAGGGAAGAACAGCCTGTGGGTCAAACAAGACAGAAAAGGGAGAGGGGAATGGGGGGCTGGTTGTCAGGACGCTGAGGGTGGATATGAAGAGGGACCTCCTGCCTCCACCCAGGGCCTCTGATAACTGCATAGGCACCCTTTCTCAGGAGGCTCAGTCACAGCCAAGGGTCAGCTCCAGGGACTTAGTCCATTTTCCCAAAATGGGCACGACACAGCTTGCTGAGTCAGGATTCTGACTTTCAGGACTAGCACACTGCCTGTTCAGCACTGGAGGAGCAAAAGGCTCTTCACAGCCCAGGCCTCCAACTGTGCCTCCCTTACAGGCATCTCCTTTGTGGGACACCAGGCCCTGCTGGCCGCAGAAAAGGCCACAGTGTTGATGGCTAGGGACTCTGCATGTTTCCTGGGAGGGTTGAGGACGGGCACTCCCCATAGCAGCCAAAGGCAGAGCAGTCACTGCCTCTGCCTTCTAGAGTGGCGGGGGGGGGGGGGGGTGCTTCCTGGTGGGGGATGCATGAGCCCAGTCCTCCTGAGGCAGGTAGGAAGATGGTGTTCCCCCAAGTCCACACACCCTGCTGGAAGCAAATCCCCTGAGCTCAGGGACTCAGCATAGTTTGTGCCTTATGTGCAACACCCCCACCTCCACCTCGTCCCTCAAAACAACTGCCTGAGGAAAGCTCAAGGCTTCCAAGAAAACTTACTATGTCCTGGCCAACACCTGTTGACAGGCCCTAACCTCCTGTCTCCAGTCATTTAATAGAAAGGAATTGCAATTGACAACATGCATCTCTTGCAACTCAGAGGGGCTCAGAGCCTGAGAGCCATTACCTTGAAATATAATCATCCAGCAGGACAGGTTCTCTCTCCCAGTCTCTGAGGGAAGACAGAATTCTTAGACCACTGCCACCAACACAGCTGGCCTAACTGCATTCACAATGACTCTACTTTTTACTTCACTGAGTCCCAAGCTCGAACTCGTCCCTCCTTCCCCCTTTATTATGCCCCAATTACCTCTGTGCAGATCATAATGGAACTCGGCTCTTTCCTCTACCTTCAGTAGCTACCTAGTGAAATCTGTTTCACTGCTACATCTGATGTCCATTTGTACCCATCAGTGACATCACTGCCCGCTGACGTTCAGGAGAAAGAGTTAAGGAGACCACCTTCCTAGGCGCCATCCTCTACACTCAGACCCTCTAAGCACAGCTGCAGCCCGTAGAGCAGGCAGAGGAATGAAAACGCCTGTCCCAGTCAGCCCTAGCTGGCCACCTGCAGCTGGCCATCACTCCACACAGCACACCAGCCTCCCTACCTCTATGCCCAACTGTGGGGGAAACCCAAGCGGCCGGCTGCAGAGGCCTCTGGGGAAGCGGGCCCCAGGCATTCTGGGCATTGCAGTCCAGCATCCTGCCCAGGAAGCCCTCACCATGATGGCCCCTGGAGCATTCTGGGTATTGCAGTCCTGCATCCTGCCCACGCAACCCTCACCATGATGCCCCTTCCCGAAGCCCGCGGCCCCGATCATTCTGGGTAGTATAGTCCAGAGGTCTGCCCACTCAACCCTCACTGTGATGTCCTCTCCCCCCACCCCCGTCCTGGAAGCCAAGGACCCCAAGCATTCAGGGTAGTGTAGTCCAGAGGTCTGCCCACGCAACCCTTACAGTGATTTCCCCCCTCCCCGGAAGTCAAGGGCACCAAGCATTCTGGGTAGTGTAGTCCAGAGGTCAGCTCATGCAACCCTTACCGTGATGGCCCTCCCCGGAAGCCGAGGGCCATTCGCATTCTGGATAGTGTAGTCCAGAGGTTAGCCCACGCAACCCTTGGGGTGATTTCCACCCCCTCCTGGAAGTCGCGGGCCATTAGCATTCTGGGTAGTGTAGTCCAGATGTCTGTCCACACAGCCCTCACCATGATGGGCCCCCAGGGATTCTAGGTAGTGGGACCTAGTGAGAGTTCCCCCAAAATTGGTCACACAGGTGGGCCCTCAGCTGCTGGGCAGGGGGCAGGAGCCATGCTGTCTCGAGGGGCCTGTGATGAGGTGGGATGACCCCTGGCCTTGCCGTCCTAGCCCAAGGTCATTATGCATTCCAGGATGGGTGCTACCAGGCAGGACAGAAGCTGCAGGCTAAGAATGTTGACATCCCAGTGACACCTGTGTTCCCTGGAGGTAAGGGGGACAGGCCTGGACCCTCAGGGCTCCTGCCCCCTCGTCTGCCTGGGGGCTAAGCTCTGAGGGGACCAACAAACCTGGCATATAGAGGGGAACCTGGGTTCTGGGAGTTTAAGGCCACTGGCTTGAGCTCAGAGGGACTGGGGAGGGGAGAACGGGGGTCCCCAGTGGAGGCAATGGGGGGACAGTTGTTTAGGTACTTGTCAGCTCATTGCTCTGGCTCAGCTGTTGCAGTAATTCAGGTGCAGGTCAGCATGAGAAAGAAAGAAGAAGCAGAGCAAGCAAAGCTGCAGCAGAAAAAAAGTCCTTTATTGTATACAGCAATCTTTTTATAGTCTTGTGAACAAAGAAGGCAGCCTTCCAACAGCAATAAATCAGGTCTTTCAGCTAATTAAACATAGCACACAGAAGTTTTACTTTCTAATCAGAAGTGACCCGCTTCTCATGGCTAATCTACTCTCGGCCTGGAGTATGCTGAGCTCTGCTCTTGTTAAGAACAGATAATAAAATTTTTCTCAGCGCCCTCCTAGCCCACTTGGCAGAACATCCCGTTTGCAGGCAAGTCCTCCCAAGGACGGCAGACACCTTGTTTTCAAGCATGTCTGCTGTTACCTTATCTAAACCGTGAAGGAGCCTCTCATTTTCGAGCAGGCCCTCCCAAGGACAGCAGACACCTCCTTTTCAAGCATGTCCGCTGTTACCTATCTACACCTTGACAGAATATCCCATTTGCAGGCAGACTCCATCAAGGACAGTAATAGTAACGCACTCACATCGGATTCTCTACATTTCCCTCCTTTTGTTTTTGTAAATGAGCCATAGCAGAAGCGATAAGAGAGGTATCATGTTTCAGTTGCCTTCGCTTTTTCCAGCGTTGGAAGACTATATACAAAACAAAACACGAAACAAAAATTATTACAGTGTTACCCAAAGAAGTTGATAACAAGGTAGAGAAATGTCTTAAAGGATTTAAATTAGCAATACTTGAAGACAATTTTTGTAAAATGTCAGATCCTGTTAGTTCAGGTAATGTCTTACTAAAGGTGTCCATAATAGTTGTTTCCAAATTCATAATTTCTAAAGTTAAATTTTGATGTCCATTTAACCATCTTTTAACAGTTTCCCAGAAATCACTGGTATTATATGGCACAGGAGTCACACAAATATGAGAAGAATTACAGTCACACTTCAGAACACTTCTGGTAGCCAAGATAGTCACTTGATCGCCAAGCCAGGAAACAGTATGTTGTAAATTGATCACATCTGTAGCCAATTGAGAGTCTAAGTCCTTTTGTTGTTGCCATAATAAATGAGCATCTTGATGCCATGTTCTCACGAAATTCACAGTTTGAATGTCTTGATGCAAAGCAACGCTAGCTACCGCAGCAGTGGCAGTTACAGAAGCAACTGCAAGGAATGAAGCTATAAGTATTCCTATTAATTGTCGAGAGCAATGTAACAAAACTTGAACAGCATTGTAAAAATGAGTAACAGACAATGAATCAGACCAAGGATGAGTCAAATTAACAGGCACCCACAATTCTGTGCGAGCTTTAACAATAACTAAAGAATAATTATTAATTTCTAATAATTCCCAATTAGTTCTATTTACACATTGAGTAAGATAACAGTCTATACATGATATTGTTCCCCAAGTTTCATTCCATTCCCAGTTTCCAATCATAAGAGAATAAGGGAATTTAACACATGCAGAAGCAAAATAAGTCAGATTATTATGTAGATATACTTCAAAAGGAGAGGAATGGGATACGTCTAATGTGAAATTTCCAGTCCATACAGTGAGTTTCCCAGATACTGCCCATAATTTTCATATATCCCCTTGAATATTAGAAAACTTTATATGCTGTAACATTGGAGGGACCAAAGCATAATGTTGCATTTTAATTGTCTCATTACCCCAAGCATTTGTTGTCCCATTATGTTGATGCCATCTTAAAGTACGATTTGATCAACTTTCTATAAATTTAGAATGATCAGGACTCCAATCAACTATAGTGATATTTTGATATTTGACTATTGTTTTAGGGTGATGATCATGACATTTTTCCCACTTTAAATGAGTTAAAAATGTTTCAAAATATTTAGCTGAACATAAAGGAAGATGAGTTCTGACAAAACATTCTTCAGATGTTAGCCATGATTGATTAACATACATACTAGAGGTATTAAATCCTCGGGAAGATATCATGACAGTAAAAACAGCAGTAGAATAACTACGATAATTAACTCCCCATGTATTATAAGAAAGAGTCGTTATGTGCTATAAGAGGCAAACAGAAAGAACAAGCCCCTATACACAATGGGACTCCTTTAACAGCTACAGTTATATTAGAAATATTATACATATTTTTATGGAATGGAATATCTTCAATTCCCCCACATACAGGAGGGGGGAAAATTAGTATTATTAGTACACACACGAACTTTAGGTTATCCCCAGGAAACACTGCACACCAAAGGAGGGTTAGGAACATAGGCCCAATAAGCAAAAGAATGAGCAGAAACTATACTTACCTGGCAATTAATAATTGCAAGCATAGCGATTAAAAGATTAATGGGATTTAAAGGCTGATTTGCCTTTTGAAAAGTTTTTTTTAGCTTCTTGAGTCAACTTTTTCATCTGTCTCCATGTTGGGGGATCTACTGTTCTCGTTGCCATCGTAGAAGTTCTCTGCATTGCCAGCTCCTGAAATTGTCTGACAAATGGGTCGCTCATTCTGCAATTTGATAAGTTTTGAAGGTACCCAGAAAGGTGTTTTACCTGTAGAAATAAGAGCAAACCCCCTTCCCATGTGGTGCAACAACCCAGAAATCCATTCTTTATTTTCATCCCTGTACCATATAGGTATTTCCGATTTTAGAAATAATGGTTGAGATTTAAATGTAGAGAAATGTTGCTGAGCTTCAGGAACCTCGGAAGCTGACCAGACATTTAAAAAATTTAAAGTTAGTAAAGTTTCATGAAGTATATTTTGAGGTGTATAAGCCATAGCCATATCCCCCCCATTTTATTTTTAGTATATATTTTCTTAACGTATGATTTGTCCATTTTATAATAGCTTGACCCTGACTATTATAAGGTATGCCAAATGTATGTGTAATGTCATATTTTTGTAAAAATGAATGTAATTTTTGTGAGGTATATGCAGGTGCATTGTCAGTTTTAAGTTCCTTAGGAATTCCCATGATAGCAAAACAAGATAATAAATGAGAAATGATTGCATCAGCTTTTTTTTTAAGATAAACTGTGGTCCATTGAAAATGAGTATGAGTGTCAATAGTATGATGTACATACCTTAGTCTTCCAAATGACTGAATTATAACAACATCAATTTGTTAAAGAGCAATAGGATGGAGTCCCCTTGGATTAACACCAGGAGGACAGTAAGGAATATTAAAAGGAGCACATGATGAACAGTTAGCTATAATTTCACATGTTTGTTTTTCAGTTATTTTGTATTTTTTATAAAGTCCTTTAGTGTTTGTATGATGTAAAGCATGTTCTAGATGAGCCTTTTGTAAGGGGAATAATAGTTGATCAGTATTTTGATTTTTTCTAGTTAATGGTCCTGGCAGTGTAGAATGTGCTCTAATATGAGTAAAATATACTGAAATTTGGCCTACTATTTTTGTAGTTATTTTTACATGTAGTGAGATAGGACATAGAGTCTTATCTTAGGTAAGCAGGGGTCTTTATAAATTTTAAGTAAGTGTTGTAGTTTTAAAGTCTATTTTTGTTTTAAAATATTATTTTATAAATTTTATATAAATAATTGATTAAGCTTATTTGAGTAAAAACTAACACAATATGATAACACATCTAAAACATGAAATAAAGAAAGGCTGAAAATTTTAGCTTTTTGTAGAAAAATGGAAAAATGTTTTTGTTTTTTATAATATTAACCTTTATGTAGATTAGGCTCTCATTAACTTAAAAAATACATTTAAATTGTACCTCAGTGTAAACAATAACATAAAACTTTATATATCTTATTGATAATAGGCCCAGTTATAGAAATTAAATGATATAAATAAATCTCCAATATGTTATTTTTATAAGCCTAAAATTACCATGTAACCTTTTGGAGAATACCACCTTGATATAATTGTTTTTAAAAGCTTCTATCTTAATGATTATATACCTGGAAAATATGAACACATTTAATATACAAAGAAGAGTAATAGTACCATAATTACTATTGATGTTTTTATATTAATTAAGATTAGCTCTAAAATAAATAACATA